AGAGTTATCCATCAAGCCAAAGTGTTATTGGCAAAAAGACATAATGATCAATAAACCTATTAGAGTCCACAAATCGGTCTGGTCATATATGTCAATTGATTTTTAACAAACATGCCAAGTAAATTTAATAGAGAAAGGATAGTGTTTCCAGCAAATGGTACTGAACAGAATGGATGACCACGTACAAAATAATAATCAGAGACTAGGGTGTATCTCAGTAATAGAGCAGATGCTTAGCATGCTTCAGCTCAATCTTCAGCACCACCAAAACAGAAGAAAAGAAAAGAAACATAGAGGAAAGAGAAAGTTTGAACCATTTCTTAAGCCACATATAATTATTAACTCCAATAGACCTAAGTGTAAAACCTAAAACTATTAAACTTCTAGAAGAAAATCTTCCTTGGTTAAGGCAAAAAACAACACAAAAAAGAAAAATCATTAAAAAAAATGATGAATTGAGCTTTGTTAAAATTTAAAACTCCTATTGTTCAAAAGACATTTTGGGGAAAATTAAGAAGTGATTAAGACCAGTCTATGAGAAAATATATGAGAAACATATCTGGTAAGCAATAACTAAATAAATATATGAAGAAATTCCAAACTCAATAAAATATACAACCCAATTTAAAAAATAGGGTCAACGACAAGTTGGTGCATGTCTATAATCCAGCTACTCAGGTGGCTAAAGCAGGAGGATCCCAAATTCAAGGCTAGTCTCAGCAACTTGGTGAGGCCCAGCACCAAGATAAAATGAAAAAAAGACTAGAAATGTAGCACATTGGTAAAGTTGCCCCAGGGTTAAATCTCTCAGTACAGAGGGTGGGAGAACTATAGCTCAGAGATAAGAGTGCTTGCCTAGAATGCAAGAGGTCCTGAGTTCGCTCTCTAGTACAACAAAAAGAAAAAAAAAAAGGAACAGTTTGGAGATCTACTTCACAAAAGTAGAGATACAGAGGGTAAGGATAAATAAACACATGAAAATATACCCAATCATAAGTTATCCCAGATATGCGAATTAAAATACCCGTCTATTAGGGCAGATGTAATAAAAGAAATTGATGTTACCAAATGCTGGTGAGGATGAAGGGTGGCTGGCTCTTTCATAAAATATAAGTGAAAAATGGGAATGAAAAATCATACAGGCAACATAGAAAACAAGCTTGGAAATCCCACTCTACTGCACTGTGCTAAGAGAAAGAAGGCTGACCGCACACTGTATGACTCCATTGATGAGACAAGTGGGAAACACGGAACTAAAGGAGCAGGCTGTATCATTTTGTTCCATGTTGAAATTTCTCCCCCAAACTTTCAAGTAGCAGAATCTGCCTGTGATGATGTTGCAGAGTTGAGAAAATGATAAAGAAACTGCAGAGGAAATTTGCATATTTTTCCTGGTAGTTATCTAACAAGTACAGCTTAGTAAGCTCTTTAATTCTTAAACTTCTAGAATTTACTTTTATTGATGGTAGGACACTAACTTGATTCTCAACTGTAAAACAGAGTATCCTCTACTCACGGATCCTGTCAACTTACTTTGGAGCACTGGTAGCATCGGGTTCATTCCTCTTACTTGGCATAAACTCAGGTCTGTGATGCGAGCAGGCTCAAGGCACTGGAGCAGTAGTGACTCACTCCTGTTTAAAAAAGTGGCAATCTCAGTTATCTCCAGGCCCCTCCATCTAGAAGATGGATCTCATTACATTCTATCAGTTCATATGACCGCCTCATCTCTACCCAATGTCCTTGACCCCCGTGTGAGCTCAACACACCAGACTCCTGATTTTGACTCAAAATTTTATATTGTTTTCAAAATGCAAACTTACCTTTCCAAATAATACCTTGCATTCTAGGAGGAAAAAAAGAGACAAGGTTACTACTGGGTATTGGAGCCACATATTTTGTGATATGTGCCCATGAAAATATCCTTTCTTGCAATATGAACTTGCCCCATAATGCTTTTTTAAGCTGTTTATTTTTAAACAGATATATAAAAACATAAAAATTATACATATTTGTGGGATATCAAGAATGTTTGACACATGTATACTTTTTTTTTTTTAATGGTACTGAGGATTGAACTCAGGGGCACTCAACCACTGAGCCAAATCTCCAGCCCTTTTTTGGTATTTCATTTAGAGACAGGGTCTTGCTGAGTTACTTAGTACCTTGCTGTTGCTGAGTCTGGCTTTGAACTCAAGATTCTCCTGCCTCAGCCTCCTGAGCCCCTAAGACTATAGGTGTGTACCACCTTGCCCAGCAACATGTATACGTTGTATGTTTAAAGGAGGGTAAACATAACTGCCTCTTCAGAAATGCATCATTCCTTTATGGAAAAGACATTCAAAATCATTTCCTCTAGTGTTTTGAAACATGCAGTCTATTATGGTTTTCTATAACCACCATATTGTGCAATAGCATGCAAGAACATATTACTCCTATCTAACTATAACTTACTGCCCACTGATTAAGCTCTTCCTGACCATCCCTCCCACCATTCTTCACAGCCTTTGGTAATCACCACTCTACTCTTGACTTTAAGGAAACCAACATTTTCAGATTCCACATATGAATGAGTATGTGGTACTAGTCTTTCTGTGCCTGGCCTATTTCACTTAACATCATATGATCTCTAGTTCCATCCAAGTTGTCCCAAATTACAGAATCTCTCCCTTTTTTCATGCCTGAATGGTATCCCATCTAGTATATGCAACACATTTTCTTATCTACTCATCAATCAATGGACACTTAGGTTGTTTCTCTTTCTTGACTATCAGTGCAATAAACATGGGAAAGCAGATGATACTTTGACATACTGATTTTATTTCCTGTGGATATACACCCAGTTGTGAGATTGCTGGATCATACGACAGTTCTGTTCTTAACTTCTGAGGAACCTCCACACTGTTTCCCATAATGGCCACACTAACTTACATTCCCAACAAAAGTGCACATAATGCTTTTGGCAGCTGGAAAATTCGCCTCCGTGCATTGTTGAAGATCATTGGATGCTGTGTTCTGGAAGTGACCCCCTATTAAATACTGTCTACTTCTCACTTCTCAAATACTGTAATGAAGGGTGTTTTCTAGAGTCTTACCTGGAGCAGTGTTAAGGCAGACTCCGCACACTTGTTCTTCAGCTCTGAGGTGATCCTTTGGAGGCTGCAGAGCTGTTCAGAAATCTTGACTTCACTCTCCTTCAGTTTACTCATGTTCTCTCTTCCCAAATAGTGCAGTCTCTGTAGAAGCATTCCTTTATTATTATTCAACAACTGGAATTTTTTCTTATTTACTAATTTGGCCATTTTTTTAAAAAACTGTTATTCTTCCTGCCAGCTCACACACAACTAAAGTAAACAAGACCATGATATCCTTCTGTGTCAAGCAGGGCAGCAGTCAATAGAAACTTAGGTATGATACCTAACATGTTTAAGTTGAGGCATGTGTGTGCACATAGTGTATTTACTCAGGTTAATAATATGTATATTTGGGTCTGGGGATATAGCTCAGTTGGCAAAGTGCTTGCCTTGCATGCATAAGGCCTTGGGTTCAATCCTCAGCACCACAATAATAAAAAAAAAAAGTATTTTCTTTTACTATGGCATTTTGTTCAAAAAAATTTACTATTTCCTTCATTAAATTAAAATTCACCAAAATTACTATACTTTTTTTACAGATTAAATTACTTCAATTAATAAGATTAGATAATTAGCCAAAATATCACTTTTCCTTTTATTCTTCTAAATGTACTCCACCTAGTCACCTATGCACATTATTAAAACAAATGATGCTATATCATACTCTGTTGCTAATCTGACACTTTCTTTTTTCTTGAAGAATATTCCTCATCTGTACACACAGAGCCATGGTATCCCTTCTACAGGGTATTGATTGATATAGGTTTTATTTAATCTCTTAGTATCAATACATGCCAACATTAATATTAATGCCTACTATTTATCAATTGCTTAAAATGTGCAAAACACCAGTTAATGAGCTTTCTGTAGAATAACTCACTCAAAAAGCAACAATGCTAAAATTTAGAGGCCACTGTTATCTCCATTTTGTAGTTAAAGAAACTGAGTCAGAGGTTAAGCAACATGTCCAAGGCCACCTAGGAGCAAGTAGATGGCAGAGGACAAAAAGGAACCTCATTGAACTAGCTTCAAAGGTTAATTCTGAACTATGACTTTGTACTCAAACTCACTTTACATGTTTCTTGATTCACTTGTCTTTTCATATGGATGTAAATTTATTTGCAGTATAATATAGTAAAATTTATATACAACTTATAGGCATATTTTATCTTATCCATGTGCCTTTCTTATATACATGTGAGGATAAATTCACAGAAACAGAATTGCTATACACACACACACACACAGAAGACATCTGTAGTTGTCACTAGGTATTTTACTCTAGTAAATTGACATAGAATTGACATAATGTTCAGGTCTTTTTCTCTTTTCCAAAATACTATGAGGATGTTATTTTTAATATCTCACTTGTAGCATCTCCTGGGACTTCTCCTCCAGCTCTGTGGCAAATCTGTTCAGATGATTCAGACTGACTCCTCTTATGTTTGAGTCACATTGGTATCTGTGCAATCTCAGGAAGTTCAGCTCATTCTCTTCACTCAACAACCGGAACTGCATGCTATATTCAGACTCAATCATCGTTTTAAAATTCTGCTCCTCTTCCTGCATCAGATATTGATAGGACAGATTTCAGGTTAAACATGACAGATTTACCACAAATAGAGATCCTATTTCCATCTCTAACCACAATAAAAAGGCAAGGAAATACAAAGGAGAAGGGAAGAAATAAAAGGCATAAATCCAAAGAACAAAATAAATTTGAGATTAGTTAAGAAATCGACATGATCTTAAAACACGAAATGCAGATGAAGGAAGGTTACCTGGTTTCAAAAGCTACAGCAAATACAACTTCTAGGCAAAGAGGAAGAGACTGGGAAATTGGAAGGTGGTGTCGATGCTTGGGATAGGGAGTGTGAGAAAAATGGAATCAAGGGTGGGAGACACCAATGTTTTTAGACTAAGCCACTGGAAGAATAGAGTTATGAAAATGTAAAAATATAGATAAAATTATGGAAAGGTTAGATCCCAAGGTGTATATACAAGTAACTCAGTTTGGGATACAATAAATTTGGTTTTGATTTGTCCATTAGACATGAGAGATACATAGGAAACTGAACATGAAGGCAATTCTTCTCTTCTATCATCTCCAACTGGACATTTATATTCTCTAAGAACTGTGTGTGAGAGAGAAGACTTGCAGTCTGAAAGTCTGGAACAAAATAGGGTTATGTATGAAGACACAGTTGGACATCAGTAATGGAATGTGCATAATATGGTGGTTTGAATAGCAGTTCTCAAACTACCATTCAAAAAACTTCACAGTTTATATGGTCACCAAAAATACAGGAGGTGGTCATCCTCCTACGTCACTGTTATAAACCTTGTTATTAATCTATTTGATCTTTGCAAATGAGGACTGGAAACGCCATCTCACTAACATTTTAATAAAGTTAATTTGTATTTCCTCTTACCATGAAAAAAGTTCGGAATCTTTTTGTGTGTTCAAAACATATTTGCAAAAATTAAGACACACAACACACACACACACACACAAGGCTGGACACAGTAGCACATGTCCATAATCCCAGTGATTTGAGAGCCTGAAGCAGAAGGATTTAAAGTTCAAGGTCAGCCTCAGAAATTTAGCAAGCTCTGATCTCAAAAACAAAACAACAACAATAACAAAAAAAAAAAAAAATAAATAACAAAAAAGGGCTGGGGATATATTTCAGTGTTAGAGCAACCCTGGGTTCAATCCCCCTACTATGGGGAGTGGGAGCAGATGCACACACACACTAAACAAAGAAACAAAGCCAATAACAAAAAAGGAACAACATCAAAAAGAAAAAAAAATTGTAATTTCTTTTCTACAAACTCTCATTTTTCTTTTTTTTTAATTATATAAGACAGTGGAATGCATTACAATTCTTATTACACATATAGAGCACAATTTTTCATATCTCTGATTGTATACAAAGTGTATCCACACCAATTTGTGTCTTTATACCTGTACTTTGGATAATAATGATCATCACATTCCACCACCATTAATAACCCCATGCCCTCTCCCTTCCCCAAACTCTCATTTTTCTACATTTTTTTTCTATTGTCATATTTTCTTTTTGACTTTATTTATTTTGTGGCACTGAGGATTGAACCCATGGCCAAATGCATGCCAGGCAAATGCTCCACCACTGAGCTATATTCCAGCCCCTTTATTTTTATCTTGACAGAGTTTCACTAGGTTGACCAAGTCTTATTGACTTTTAAGAGCTCTTTATACATTAAAATATTGGCATTTCCCAACCCCCATGTACTTCAAATACCTTTTCCTGCTTTTGACATTCAACTTCATTTATATTATTTGCTATTCAATATTATTAGTAATTTTCCCCCAAGAATGAAAATAAGCACTAACCTGAATCACCCTCATTCTTTCTTGCTCATCAGTCAATATGCTCTTAGCTACGTCAAGTTTCATTCTCAATGTGTTCAATATTTCCTGGAATAATTTCTATAGAGAAATAAATAGCAGAATTCCAAGTAAGCTAATTAATTGCTCTAGAATGAGATTCTATCCATAGACAACTAAAAGGGTAAGCCATCTATTTGTTAGCTTTAAAGCTGAAGTTTCAATAAATATGACATTTCTTTTTGTCTTTTTTTTTGGCACTGGACTTTGAACCCAGAGGCACTCTACCACTGACCTACATCTCTAGCTCTATTTATTTATTTTTTTCTTTTTTTAATTTTTTTTTTTTAGTTGTAGATGGACACAATACCTTTATTTTTTTATTTCTGTGTGGTGCCAGGGATCAAACCCAGTGCCTCACGCCTGCTAAGCAAGCGCTCTACCATTGAGCTACAACTTTGTCCCCTTTATTTTGTATTTTGACATATTGTCTCAATTAGTTGCCCATTCTGGCCTCTAATTTATGATCCTCCTGTTTCAACCTCCAGAGTTGCCGGTATTATAAGTGTGTACCACTATACCTGGCTTGGTATTTCTTAATAGATATTAACTAAGAGAAAGGTTTTGAAGGATCAGAATATCTGTCCAATCAATCAAAAGGAGGAGTTGACCAGGTATTGTTTTGGAATTTGCACAAAACTTACCCTGTAATTCTCAGCAGCTTCTTGTATCCCATATACTACGTGATTCTTGTGCTCCTGGGACTGGAAGCACTTGCCACAAAGTGTGACTTGGTCATTGTCACAGAACAGCTGTGGTGGTTCCAGGTGTGTCTCACAATAGGCATCTTCTCTGATATTGTGTTGTAGCTGGGGGTTGAGCTTTTTAGACATCCTGCTTTGCTGTCCCTAGTTGAAGGTAAGGCTGCTTATTTCTGATGTCAAATAATTTCCTACCTCCTGAACAGAAAATGATGGACAGGCTTCCTCTGTTTCTCGAGCAGTCACACTTGGGAACATCAAGGTCTACAGTGAAATAAGCATCAATGACCCAAGAAGGTAGTCCAGGCACACAGAGCAGGTTGGTATACCCAGTCCTCCTCAAATCCAGCAAACCTTTGCCAGCCACATGCTTGAGGAAGGAGATTTATTATGTTGGGATTTACTATATAGAAAGGCTGTCCCAAGTTTTCTGACAATCTTAAGGAAAAGACTGAAAATTAATTACAAGCAACAGCATAACAGTCATTTACTGGGGGTAGGGTGTCTCAGTAAAAAGCACAATACAAATATGCAGTACATAACTAGGGTGAGGCAAAAACAAAGCACCTGTTTAAGCAGTGCATGCTGGCCCTGTGCTCAGCAGGAGCCAGGAATTGAGGGTCTTCTTTGAGTAACTCTTAAAGGAGAGGAGCCTAGGAACCCAATTTAAGGAAGCACTAAATATCAGACTTGCAGAGGTGCATAGGAGCCTGGGAGTTAGGTGCCTCCTTAAATTTTTACCTAAGTGTCCCACCTTGCTTGACCGTAGAACTGATCATTAAAGAAATCACACACACACACACACACACACACACACACACACACAAGGGACATTATATATTCTCCTACTTTGTTTTCTAGGAAAATGATCAGTGATCTGATCTCCTGCATCCCTATTCCTGAATTCATAGGATTACCTTTGACCAACATTTTCACATTTTCTCTGGAAGTATTATTCTAATGTTATTGTTAAAGCCATATTACCTCCTCAATTTTGGAAACTCTTCCCCAATGAATGTCTTAGTTTCCTTGTCTAAACAAGCCATCGTTGGGTGATGTCATAACACCAAGTACCAATTTCTCAAAATCCTCCCTTCTAGTCACATCTGCCCCTATCTCACTTTGCTAACTGGCTCTTCTGACAGTATGATAGGTCTCAGGTCTCCTAACTTCCTTTCTTCCTTCTCTTCTGTCCCCACTCACACTCCATTTTTTTTTCCATCAGCCAGATCGTCTACCTTTTCATTTTTTTTCTTTTTGATTTAATGTAAGATATTAAAAATTTATAATGCTTAAGCAGATTAACATGATACTCATTTTTTTTAATTTTATTTTATCTAGGTATATTTTAAGCAGCTTTCAAAGTATGGTTTCAAGATTTTATTTATCTTTCTCATTGAGCTGACATTCCTACAGATGGTAGATAAAACCACTGAATTTTACCATTAAGTGGTGCTAAACAGTACTAGAAGTCTCCGTCTTCTTCTTTTTAAAATTCTCTATATACCTGTGTATTCCCAGCTTTAAAAAAAAGCAGGGGACTCATTTTATCATTTTATTTAAGAATAGCCTTATGTCCTCAGATAAAAAGAAAATTATTAAATCTTGACATGTGGAGTCTATTTAATATTCTTGGTGACAATTGGAAAATTCACATAAAACCATTCATGCCATATACAGAAATACAACAGTTTTCTCAAGAAAACACAATTTGTGGTTGTTTGAGATTCAAGTTATGCTAGATAGTATTGGGGGTTTTCTGTTTGTTTTTTCCCCTCAGTACTAGGGATTGAATCCAGGGGCCCCCTACCTCCAAACTATGCCCCCAACTCACCCCACCCCTTTTATTTTTAAATTTGAGACAGAAAGCAAGGTGAAGCATGCCTGTAATCCCAGCATCTTGGGAGACTGAGGCAGGAGGAAATGAGGTCAGCCTCAGCAACTGAATGAAACCTTGTCTCAAAAAATAAAAAGAACTGGAGATGAAACTCAGTGGTACAGAGCCCCTGGGTCCAATCCCTAGCACCAAAGGAAACAAAAATCTTAATAAATTGCTAAGTGTTACCTTGAATTTGCAATCCTTCTGCCTCAACCTCCAGAGTCACTGGGATTATAGGCCTGATCCATCACACCTGTCTAATAGATAGTATGTGTAAATGACATTCTTCTTTTTTTTTTTTTTTAAAGAGAGAGAGAGAATATTTTTAATATTTATTTTTTAGTTTTCGGCAGACACAATATCTTTGTTTGTATGTGGTGCTGAGGATCAAACCCGGGCTGCACACATGCCAGGCAAGCGTGCTACCGCTTGAGCCACATCCACAGCCCAACATTCTTACTTTTAAAGAAGAACTGAGCTGAACAGGGTTATTTCAGAACTGTTAATGTACAAGATGTTTTCTCACAATGTGACCCCATCGTTTCAAAGGGAAAAAAACCAAAACACCCAAAACTAGGAGTATTAATTTTCAATCATTAAATTAGATCTTTCAGGTAAAAATTATTATTTTGAACAACTTGTATTTATCACTGAAAACTTGACATCTTCCCAATAGTCAGTTTTCCTCATAAGATTGATGGTGATATTAACAAATGTGATTTTGGTACTGTATAATAAAATATGTCAAAATTTGGAAGATCTGCAAACTCAGAGCCCTTATTTCCAAATGACTGATACATGCTGTTAAAACATTATGCTAGGGTAAAAGAAAGGTTCAAGCTATAAGACAGATAATAGATTCAATGTTAACAGTGCAATTTTAACTAGTAGAAATACAGAAAAACAAACCAACAATTATCTGAAAATGCTATTAGAATGTTCTCACTTTTCCAAATATGTATCTGTGTGAGGTCAGACTTAATCTAACAACCCAAACAGCATATTGCAATAGACAGAATGTAAGGGCTGAGAATGTGAGTTGGTGCTAGAGGGCTTACCTAGCATGCCCAAGGTGCTGGGTTCAACCCATACAATCTCACAAAAACATATAATAGAGCTGGGTGCCTTGGTGTCCACCTGTAATCCCAGTGTATCCAGAGGCTGATGCAGGAGGATCGCAAATTCAAAGCCAGTCTGAACAACTTAGTGAAGCCCTCAGCAATTTAGTAAGACCTGTCTCAAAGTAAAAAATAAAAAGGACTGGGAATGTGTGAGTTTAATCTTTATACCAAAAAAGAAATAAGTTAATAATAATAATAAAATCCAGAAGCAGACACCAGAAAACAGATGTTCTGATAAGACATAAATTGAAGGGATTTGCAAAACAAAGAAACTACACTATTCTCAAACCTGTTTCAGAAAAGTTTATTAAAATGGTTTTCAAAACACACTTTAATAAATTAATATATAATTTAAGAACACATGTACTTTCTAACGTAATTAGTCAAGATGTCATAAAAGATTTATTCAGAAATCCTTCAATTATTTGGGTGCAAAAAGGTTTTGAGACCAAAAAGTTCAGAATTTTGACCTCAAAGTGCATAATCCTCAGAAATGGGATTGTTGATGCATCTATAATTAGTTTGGCAAATTATAGTTTGTCATTTTCTCATATAAGGGTCATACAAATCTGCACTACAAGCAAGCTGTGAAAGGAACAAAACTTTGGGTTTTTGCACATTGGCTAGGTGAGAAGTATAATCTTTACGTATTTTCAAATTACACTTATTATGAATATTCCTTTTTTCATATGCTTAAATATCATTTTCTTCCTTTTTTTTCTTTTTGCTGTGAACTTTATTTTTGGTCCTGGGGATTGAACCCAGGGGTGCTTAACCACTGAGCCATATCCCAAGCCCTTTTAAGTTTTAATTTTTAGTTAGAGACATGGTCTCACTAAATTGCTTTGAGTCTCTGGATTACAGGCATGTGTTACCAGCCCAGCTGCTGTAAACTTTAATGTCCAAGTCTTTTACCCATTTTCTTTAATCAAGTTTTTGATCTTTTTAAGTCAATTTTAAAGATATTTATACTTCTGAAAGAGTATCCACTTTCATATTATATGAACTGCATTTTTTTCCTATTTATTTGTTTTTGAATATACTGTCCATCTTTTTTATCCATTTAGGTCTTTCAGCTCTCTGGTAGCTTTTCTCGTCCTGCCTCCCTAGACATGTGCTAGAAGATTTCCAATTAGTCATCATCTAAAGAAATCTGCCAGCTCAGATTTCCTTGTGCTCTCAGCAGCAGCTAACATAATTGGCCCTGCCTGCCCTTCTTCCTGGAACATCATCTTCTGAAAGTTATAAAGATCCTACAGCTGATAGTCCTCTGTCTGTTCTGGCTATTGACATTCCTTTTTTGGCTATACATACTTTTGAATCTCCAAATCTTGGGGGTGCTTCAAGGTTTAGTTCTGAAGCTGGGCCTGGTGGTACACTCCTGAAATCCCAGCTGCATGGGAGGCTGAGGCAGAAGGATTGCAAGTTTGAGGCCAGACTCAGCAATTTAGCTAGACCCTATTTTATTTTATTCTCAAACTGGTGATGTACCTCAAGGGTAGAACTGCCTAACGTGTGCAAGGCCTTATGTTCAATCCCCAGTACCACACACACACACACACACACACACACACACACACGCGGTTCAGTTCTGATCTCTTAACCTTATCCTGCACAGTCTTCCCCCAGGAGAAATAAATGTCATTTATTTCTGAATATTTCAAGTACCAATTTAAATCTTTTTCCTACAACAGTGTTCAACACATTTGCAATTGAACGTCTACTAAGCACTCAAATTACCTTCACTTAGAATTGTAATTTAAGCCACCAATTCATAAAACCATCTATTGCTCTCCTAGTTTACTTTAGTGGTATGATCCAATATTGTCTCTGCCTCCTCTCAGCTCAGTGAGAACTATTTTAAAATCTGTATCAGGCTTCTGATCATTTCCCTTGCATTTAAAATAATATAGAGATGGCTAATCCAGTGCTAGGACGTCTTCACCCCCCAGTTCCCTCTTTGTCTCGTCACCACCTAATTTCATCTACAGCTCCGCCCGGTTGTACCAAACTCATCCAAACTCACCTGTTGCAGTTTTGCTTCTGTCACAGAAGAGATGTCTCTGGAGAAGGGTCCGAGGAGTTTCCAGAGGAGAGGGAGAACTCAACTTAGGACCAGCAGGGTTCTTGGC